TATAATTAAAATGATATGATGCTCAATGAATATTGTTGATTTGTAGTAACAATCTTTTCTGGTTTTCATAAAAAAGTAATAATTATGGAAATCAGAAACTTTATTATACTGAATTAAGACAGAGCTATTTTCTTTGTATTTGATTAGTTGCTAGAGCCTATATGGTTGTTGAGTATTACAGTCTATTTTTCTTCAGATTTCAGTTTCAATATAAACTATGTACTACAGTCCCCTATCCTCTCATTTACTTCCTTACTGAACAGAAACAATATTTTCATCAATTAGTCAACATTTCTCCTTTATGTAGTTTCTCCCCAATCTTCATGTCCCTCCAATAATGGGGTGACTATGGAAAACCCCAGATGACTCTTTGACCCTCCAATAAAAAAGACTAATAGGAAATTATTAGCCACTGTTTCCGGAAGGAAACTGGATGGGGCAGGTTCACACTTGTGGCTAAGGATATGACAAGGTTAGGCTTTATTCCACCATTCCTAGCTTGGGAATCCAGATAGTCACAATGACAAGCAAGGATAACTTACTGTGTAGCCATATCGAGGAATGCTGAAGTACTTAAGCCAGGATAACCAAGGCTCAATGGTTGTGAGATTCACCAAAAGACCAGAAAAAATCTGTAAGATGCAAAACCTGTAAGTTAGAACCAGTCTAGTGATTTCATAGCTTTAGGTAAGACCTCCTATGAGGCCTTGCATGCAGACAAGTGTGATGGTGCATGCCTGTAGTCAAACCTAGGGAGGCTGAGACAGAGGAATCACAAGTTCAAAGCCAGCCTGGGATATCTGGCACGATTATCTAAAAAACAAAAACAAAGCAACCAACCCCCCTCCCCAACACAAATAACCTGCATCTGCTAAACATCACTGCTAAGGCCAAGGCGGTATGAAAACTGCAGTTATAATATCTCCTAATAGTCTTGCTTAACATGTGAGTACTTCTGCAGTGGTTATTTATGGCATTAAGGGGAGGATTATACACCTATAATTAATATTATATATTCAAGTTATTTGATAATCCTCAATGGTTTAGAATGTCTTCAACTTTCTGTATAACTGCAATGGAAGATTAAAAAACAGAATCATCCCTTGATCTCTCATGGGTATAGGTTGGGTCCAGACTTCCAACATGTAAACTAAATTCTGCGGATGCACAATTCTCTTATTTTTAAGATGACACAGTACTTTAATATAACCTACACGTGGCTTGTATGCTTTTTAAAAAAGAATTATTCATTTTTATTTTATGTGTGTGAGTGTTTTGTCTGTATGTAAGTGCACTGCATGCATACTTGATACCCACGGAGGCCAGAGAAGGTGTCAGATCCCCTGGGACTGGAATTGGAATTAGTGACAGCTATAAGCCACTAGGTGAGTCCTGGACATCAAACCTACATCTTCAGAAAGAGCAGCCAGTGCTCTTAACTGCTAAACCATTTCTCCAGCCCAGCCTTTATACATAAAATAGACACATCACAGATGTTTGAAGATTATCTGCAGAGTGATTAAAATGCCTAATACAACACACATGCTAAATAAACAGTTGGTATACTCTATTATTTATGAATAAATGAATGAATAGATGAAACAGTATCCCTATGTAGTCCCAGCTGATCTAGAATTTCCTATGTAGACAAGGTTGGCCTCAAACTCAGAGTAATCCTATTGGCTCTACCTCCTAAATGTTAGGATTATAGATATATGCTGCCATTATTATTGGATTATACTGTTCTTTAAGGAATAGTGACATGGGGAAATGGTGACATGTATACACAAGAAAAGCATACATTTTTTCCTCAGTTGAATCTTTTGATATGGATATGGATGCAGTCTGTTCTGTGATTCTAATTATGCCACCTTTATGCGTTCCTCTCTATAATCCTGGAAATACAGAACACACTAGAATAATCCAGAACAAGCATGTTGCTGTACATCCAGACAAGATTTGTTATTGACAACAGTTTATGTTCTATAGTCATGGATTTAGAAACAATTTTAGGTTCAGAATGCAGGTATAAAATAATCTCCAAATTAGAACAGATAAGAGCATGATATGGTGATGTACAGCAGAAAAACATAAGTAATACCTCCATATAAGCTGAACTGTGGGGCTAGAGAGGGCTCAGTAGTTAAGAGCAATTACTGCTGTAGCAGAGGACTGAGTTTAGTTCTCAGCACCCATATCAGGTGGCTCACAACCACAACTACCCTAGCTCCAGAGTATCTGGCACTGTCTTCCAGCCTTTGAGGT